TTGAATTCTCAGAAATTTCATTCCAGGTACTCAATCATATATAAAAGATATTTAGAATAATATAATACATTTCTTTAGAAGAAATATAGAGATAATAATATAGATATGTATATGTTAATAATATATTTCTAAAGAAAAATCATTATTTACATTATTTTTTCTCCTCGGAAAGGAAAGGTACAAATTCGAATTCTCAAAAATTTCATTCCAGGTACTTAATCATTTATTACACGATCAAGTACAAGATAATTACATATACAGGAGTAGCTTGATTTGAGAAGGTAAACCCGATAGGGAAATTTTGCCTAGATTAGATCCTTAAGGCTTTCACCGGCGGAACTCTTGCAGTTAAAACTGTTAGAGGTTTACGGGTGTAAACTGTACCCTTTCGGAAGACTGTTTCAAAGTTTCATCAGCATCGTATCTAACTTCATCAAGGCTCTGAGAGGTCTTATACATTCAGTATCAGGGTATTATAGATCTCTAATGAAGCTAAGTGCTATCCTGGCGGAACATTAGAATACTCTTTTTCGAGAAAAAAAAAAGAACCACTTCTAAACATCTTTGTCGAATTTCAACTGGTTAGCTTCGAAGTAGCCTTCACTTTTGTTACTGTCGTTTCAAATAGAGTTATACAGGGTGTCTTTTTGTTTTTTTAATTGGATACGATGGAATATTTGAAGCTAATCGAAAAAATGTTTTTGCAAAATTTATTTGGTATTATGCTGGACATAATGTGGTATAAATAGTTTCTTCGCGAGGAAGATTTCAAGATAATTTTTTTAAACGAAACGTAGAATGAAGGTGCTTTGCGTATGAAGTTTAATTGGAAACGTAGAACGAATTGTGTCCACAAGAAATTCTGCTTCTGAGCTGCGAGCAGTTCGTGTATTATTTTAACCCCTTAACGTATGATTTCTTTTCTGACAATGCATCTAAGCGTCGGCCATTTTCTGTTCTAGTACTGTATCAGGTAACAAGAGCTAATATTTTACAGATTAATTACACTTGGTAATCCTCAGTGTTGCAAATTAAAATGAAAGTTAGGATTACAATGAATTTTTCTTACTAATACAACGATTTTTCTCACATCTTCGCCAGAATCTCTGCCACGTGTCTGACACGTTGTCATATGTTAAGGGGTTAACCGAGTCGGGATTATCATTCTGTTTTAGCCTATTTGTCATCGATTTTATTAATTAATAATATTGGTGTAACTAATCGAGCTTTTGTCATTCATAGACGTGGTTATTTTTGTAATATTACTGTGTGAGTGATTTGCAGTTTTGAAATTTTCAAAGAAATGAGATTTAAAGGTCTGTTACTTACGTAGAGCATTGTTACAATTTCCAAAGAAATGAAATATAAAGTATTGAGTATTGTTACAATATTCTACGTAAGTAACAGACCTTTAAACTCCATTTCTTTGAAAATTGTAACAATAAGTAAATGACAGACTTTTAAATTTCATTTCTTCAAAAATGTCAAAATTGCAAATTGAAAATTAGGATATGAAAAATACTATTTCGTGTATATTCACTAATCAGAGAATTCTAAGGAGAAATTAATAAAGAAATACGCTACCTCCTATGAAATAAGCTACAAAAGTTATTTCTTCCTCGATAAAATACAAAATTATCAAATTTTCTCTTTATTAACAAAAGTTTGAAACTTAAGCCTGCATAGTAGTCTATATAAGCTGTATTAAAATATTCAACATTTTCCACAGAATCTTCGAAAAAGATCGTTTCAATGGATGCACAAATTCTCAACTTAGTTTCACCAACTTCGTAAATATTCCACATTTCATTTCGACCAAGTTAAGTAATCAGTGAAACTTGAAATAAATCAAAGCAAACTGTATCACAGATAAAATCGTATTTCCACAAAACCGACGATAATACGATAATTATTTTAATTCGTCGAATGTCTCGTATATAAATGATTCGTAACGCGGTTCCCAATGGAAATGGAGCCACCTACTTTCCCTGTAAGCTCTCAAAATTCCCAGAAGAACAAACTCCTTTAAAACGTGGCCCGTTTATGCATAAAAAGGTATTTCCTTATCGTTCCAGAAGATCGCGAAACCGAGCGAAATTGTTACGCAAAACGATCGTATCGTCGCACGGCAGCCTTAAAATAGTTGAACCACTCTACTCCTGGACAGCTGCTGATTTGCATATTTATTTTCGATGATAATATTTACGTCTAACCTCGTAAATGTGCTCCTCGCCACGCGATCATCTCCACTTTCGTTTATTTCCATCGAATCGTCGTTAGAAACATTCTTGTCACCCGGTATATTATGTCTATTTTTCGTTAAATATCCTATTTATTCATTTACAAGTAAAACAAAATTTTATATTTTATTTTGAATTTTATCAAATTTTACATTAAAATTTTTTAAAAAAACTTTTATATTGAAAGATTCTACAGAAATAAGTTCAATTCTAATTTATACTAAAATAGGTAAAAATTAGTAATAATGTGTCGAATTTTCGTTTCCAAAGAAATATTTAAAAAATTGCCTAAGCACAGTGCAATGTATAATAATTGCATTCGAGCGATCTTTTATCGTGTATTTCGCGATACTAAAGAGTGACTTATGAATTATTCTACGTGAATGAAAATGTTCATTCAAATAAGTATTATCAGCAGTCAAGATAAAGAAAGGTTCGTGATTTTGCTGGAGAGAAAGTTTACTATGTTCATTTAACTCGTTGAATGAAGAATTTGTTTTAAATTCTGCAGTAATTTGCGGCACGTACATTTTTTCGAATATTCAAGATAAAAGGAGGTGCTTGTAGGAATTGTTTTTTTTTTTTTTAAGAGAAGAGAAGAAATACTTTTAAAGAATCAGGTTGTTGTGATATTAAAAAGGGAAATTTGCCATTAAATTCAGACAGGATTAAATTGACGCTTATTTTTTGATATTTGATATTTTAAATATTAAGAAAAGCTAATGTATACGTGTAAATTAATTACATTCAGTCTCATAAATAAAGGAAAGTTAGGATTAAAATTAATTTGTGTTACCAATATTGTATTTAATGCTTTTATCGCACCTTGACTATGAAATCTGTGGCACGAATCTGACTCGTTATAAGGCGAGGGATTAAAGATAAAAATTTTACTTAACACGTTCGCTGCCATCAGGAAATCTACGGCACGCCTGGCAATGCATTCTGGACCGGATATGCTGCGTCGGTGGCAGCGAACGTGTTAAAATGCGCCAATGAAATTATGCAAAGTTGACTTACCGACAAACACCGCAGTACTGTTATGACGTGGATCGTAAGGACACAGTCCCAGTCCATCCATGTCGCTTTCTTTCGCGTACGCTCCATCCTGGAACAAGAATTGCAAACATTAACGTTAATTACTGATCTACTGTATATATTTTATTACGTTATATTACGCATTTATTTCATGATATATTATATATTTCGTCCATCACTACCGGCAGTTTAACAATTTTTTCATTTGCATATATCGCAAATTCCATCAACTATAAGTGCAATAAATTTTATAGTTACAATCGTAATAATAAAAAATATATCAATCAATTACGATCAAATCTCTTTATTTCCACGATCTGTTTTTATCACAGCAATTTTATTATCAGTTAAAAAATTTTTATCTGTTAGAAGAAACCAATTTCATATCAACATTTATATTGATTTTTTGGTCAGCCTATACATATATTTTAGTTTTACCAGGATCTGCTAAATGAAAGAGAAAGAGAAGCTTTCGAAAATTTAGCAATAAATTCGTGCTACAATAGGAATTCAGAAACTGCGCGTGAAACTCGAAGTTTTTCGTTCGGTGATTAATAATCATATACAGGGTGTCCCAATTGTTTCCGATCAAACTTCGCCAGTACCTTCTGCGGATACAACTAAGAAAAAAAAGTTATACAAACATAGGTCGTTTGAAGCTTCATTAAAAAGTTATAACAATAATACGAAATACAAAAGACTGAATGTAAAATAGCTTTCAAACGAAGCTCCAAACGACCTACGTTCATACGACATTTTTTTCTTACGCATACCCGTAGAACATACTGGCAAAGTTTGATCGAAAAAAAATTGGGACACCCGGTATACATAAGTACGTATATCACGGCGGGTCGAAAGCGTTGAATGTACGGCAACATCTCCCAGCTACCTAATGTTTAGATCTTTTCATTAGCTTACCCCGCGATTCGAAACGATCCCTTCCGTTGTAATTACAGAGACGTTCGTGATAAATCATTCAGGCGTTAGTATTCAGGAGAAATTTTTTTCGCTCGTCGTACACTGTGGAAACATAATTGAACCGCTTGATGTTCGGCCGAGGGAATTAAACGTCGGGGATGAAGGAAGGAAAAAAAGAGAAAAGAGAGGAGGAAATACGGCGAAGGGTGAGTCACGCAATTGGAAGGAATCGTATTTCCTGTTTGTACAACAACGGCTTATCTTTCTCCGACCTTATTTTTCCGCGAGTGCCACAACGCACCTGCAATCCCTACTTGCGGTTCTTTTCTTGCTTTTTGCTTTTAATGAAGTCAGTCTATTTTGCTTTGCAAACGGATTGAAGTGAGGCGGCAAGGGGCAGAGGAATGAATACTTCATGAGACGTTTCGAACATCCTGATGAACTGTAAAGAGAATGTTTTGCACAGTCCTTTCCTCATGGTTTATTTGTTGCTGTAAAATTCTCGAAAGAATCGCCTCCGCTGAAATGTTTCAACCTCTCGGTATTTTAATTAATTGATTTCCTAATTGGAGGGAAAAAAATTTTAGAAATAATTCATTTTAATTCTATTGGCAAGAGTTTGTTGAAGAACCGTGTTCATAGCAGAATAGATCGAATCTAAAATAGCGAAAGAAATAAACTGCCACAGGTCGCAAACAAGAAATTTTCAAGACAAGCGAAACGAAAATTTTTATATGAAAAATTACTTAATTACACCATTATAGAATACAAAAAACACCAATAAAATTGACTCGCTTGAAATATTCCAGTTCAACTGTTAACTTTCTTTTTATGGTAAATCTGTGTATTTTTCTAAACTAAAATTTTTAACTTGTGACATTTTTCACTGAAATGTGACACGTCGATAATAATCGTTCTTGCTAACAGAATCAACTCTTCAAGTAACACGTAGGTGTACCGATACAGAAACCATCAGAAGGACCGATTACTAGAGACGGTAACTTCTTAAACCGAATTATCTTGTTCGTTTACACCGTCTAACTTAAGAAACAAATAACGACACCGATATCCCAGTTTCCCTCGAATTCCACGCTCTGAAGACAACTGCATTAGTTGTACACCAGTTCAATCGATCCGATTCAATATCTCGCCGAACTATTAACCGAACACGAGGTATATAGCGCACCTCACGAAGTTAACCCTGATCCAGGGGCGTCTCGGCCGGGTACCCCAGGGAAATTTCTTTGGCAGAAATTTCCACCAGGTAACTTTCCTTTCTATTTCGTCTTGTAATGAAAAAAGCAACCCATAGGAGAGAAAAAACCGGGTCATATTGCTAAGAAACTCAATTCAACCTTATCGTACCGTACGTTAACGCACTATCGTCTCGAATTATATTTCTCTACGAAAGAAAAACCAAGTAAAATAAGCAAAACGAGGATTATTTTCTTGTTGCGGCGACTTTTATCTGGAAAAAAAGTAGTATTTGTCGGTGAAATGAATTTTCGAGGAAGAAACACCTGGAGGGAGAGAGAAAGAAGGGAGAGCAAGCGAGGTTGAAGATGAAATTCGTTTATGTTCCCGCATCGGAACCTTTTTAATTCGAAGTAATAATATCGCGCAATTATAACTTTGCGACGCAACCTCTCGCTTCACCTTCGAACTTCATCGTGCAATTTACTCCGTAACTGCGCTTCTTTCGCCGTAACGTTGCCCCGCGAAAGGATTATCTCGTTATGCACGCTCCCTTCTAACATGCCAGCCAACTTCTCTTTGCATTACGCGCTTTACGAACTTTTTCCACGTTACAAGATCGCCTCTTCTTCTCGTGACTGTCATCAGAAACGAGAATCTGGCTGCTTCTTTGTCCTCCGTTTCGGGATCTCTTGTTCCCGAATTCACGCACGTTTCGCTTGTTACACCATGAGACAGGTGGGACAATTTTCGAGGTGTCAGGACGTGGATTGTTTTTATGGTCCTTTCGTGTATGTGTGAGCCATTTGGAAGACAAAATGATTAATTAACAGATTAATTGTCTACGTCGAAAAGTGTCACTGCATTGGTCCACGAAGTAAAAATTTTATTCCACATTTTTGTGCAATCTATCTATTTCTTTCATGAAAAATTGAACAAAAACGCTGTAGATAAGCAAATATTTACTCTACATCTGTTTTATTTTTTAATGAAAAATTTAACCCTGCAAATAATGAATTTTGCCTTTGTTTCGTGTTATTTATAAATAGTCGTATTCAGTGAAAATGTCCGAAACAAAATTGTTGACATTCTTCGACATCAAATTTCGCTTACCATTTTTCGTTTAACCCCTTAACATATGACAACGTGTCAGACTCGCGGCAGTGATTCTGGCGAAGATGTAAGAAAAATAGTTATATTAGTAAGAAAAGTTAATTGTAATCCTAATTTTCGTTTGAATTTGTAAGAGATTCTGGCGAAGATGTGAGAAAAATCGTTGTATTAGTAAGAAAAATTCATTGTAATCCTAATTTTCATTTTAATTTGCAACACTGAGGATTACTAAGTGTAATTAATCTGTAAAATATTAGCTCTTGTTACCTGATACAGTAATAGAACAGAAAATGGCTGAGGCTTAGATGCAGAGTCAGAAAAAAAATCATAGGTAAGGGGCTAACTCCACTTTTTGATATTTTTCCAATTTTAGTATGAAAGCATATACTTGGTGCTTAATTTTCCATAAACGAAACGAATTTAATAAATTTTATTTGACGGAGTTAGTCACTTTGGCTTCTGAATGGCTCACACACAGCTTTAATTCCTTAATAGACATGTTTGTTCGGAAAGGACAACACCCAAATTTTTGGCTCAACGACATGGACGCCTGTTTAAGCTATTTTAGAGTGTCTTCTTTTTTTCTGAAGACCATCGTTTAATTAATTTTCTTCAGGGGCAAGAAAGTGCTTCGTGGCCGCAGAATCCCTGGGTTTTTACAGGCTACTCGCTTTTCTGGTGCCAATTCACTAACCCTCAATGGCTAATGACGTATCGTAAAGCAGCCACTTCGTGACACCGAAGCGCCTGAGTTCTGTTAGGATCGGTTACTCCTTGACAGGGGCGGTTCTAGGTTTGCAGTGCGTGCGTGCACGCGGGCGATCGAATTTCTAGGGTGGCCTATAGCGCACTTTAAAGAGTGAAATTAAAATAAATAGATCAAATGTTGTAGGAATGTTGGATCGTAGACAGGTATTCAATAAGATTTGTGACAATGACGAATATTTTTAACGATTAAGACTTTCTCTATTACTTTAACCCCTTAACCTATGATTTCTTTTCCGACTATGCATCTAAGCGTCAACCATTTTCTGTTTTAGTAGTAACAGGTAACAAAAACTAATCTGTCACAGATTAATTACATTTAGCAACCCTCAGTCTTAAAAATTCAAACGAAAATTAGGATTACAATGAATTTTTCGTACTAAAACAACTATTTTTCTCGAGTCTGACACGTTGTCATATGTTAAGGGGTTAACACTCGCGCCCTCTAGACTCTCAATTCTCTAACTCCCGCTCTGACTGAATCCTCAAACCTCAGGTGTTGGTAAAAATGCACGCAGTAAAAATGAGATTTTTGACCGCACACACCCTACTTAACCCTTTCATTGCTACTGGCGTGCATTTTCACTTTAGCCCTTACGTCTACTTTATCGTCCAATTTTAGCAGTTTTCTGATAACAAAATTCTAAGCTTGAAGCAAGCACAGATATGAAATGTGGCGGATAACAACGATCTGGCCGGATATTAAAATCTTTTAAATGAGAATGTGCAAAAGGGTACTCGAGTATGCGGTTATCGACATAAGGGTTAGTTAGTTCAATACTTAATTTTACACTTTACGCACTTCCACCTTAATTTAATAAACCGAATTTTAAAACGATACAGTCAAAACAGCAAATTTTGCAGTCTGCAACACGTGTTGCGTATTAAAATCTGCCACAGCGAAAGGGTTAATAACAGATAAACAAAATCACACAAATTATAACCTAAAAATTTGAAGTAAATTTCTAAAAAAAAATTGATATTTCGCTAGGTGTCTGTATCATACACCCAATCGTCTTAATATTTACAAAGATTGTTCTTTTCAGCGAAGCTAAATTATTAAACGTCAAATGCAACACT